ATCAACAGATCCAGCCTCGAGGTCTGTGTACCAATCAAAAGCATTTTCTTTTAATGAGCGGACAAACTGCTTGACGAGGTAATCTCCATAAGTCCCAGCATTGTTGTATGTCTCAACGAAGTGCGTCACATATTGCTTTGGATTGCCTTTGCCATCAAACTGTTGAAATTTTGGAGGTTGATAGCCGACAAGCATCTTCAACATATCGATCCTTGAAGTGTACGACTTTGCGTATGTAAGAGAGGACTTGGTAGCAACTTCGTACTTGCTTTTAATAGTTCCTTCAATGAACTCTTTTAGTTGATCGATTGGAATCATCCCTTCAGATGAGGTAGGGATAGCCTTAGCAGATGCTACTTGTCTTGGGGGAGAATCACTCTCTGGAACTTCTGGGAGTTTGCCAGGTGCGTGGGTGGATTCTTCTTCCATCAAGATTTCCACCCTATCTGTTAGCTTGTCGATTCTAGCATTTTGATTTTGCATGCACTTGGTCAAGCCAGCGATTTCTTCCGTTAAGTTTGCCAACTGCTCCTCCACAGATGAAGTGTTTGTCACCATGGCTTACATGATTGTCGTGGCCGATGGAGAATAACATGGATTGTCACACAGATTGATCTTCGATTGGCTCACGCTATGTGGTATAAGTGGGGAGGATCCATCACTTGAAGCATCATCATCTTCCTTCACAGCAGAGTACTTGGATCCGGAAAGGTCAAGTAGAGCAAGAGTTTTCTTGATCTTTTCAACAACATCGTTTCCTCCTTCGGGTGCGTTTGTGGAAGATCTTGCTCCTTTTGAGGATGAAGATCTGAAAATAAGGGTTGATGCAGACGGCATGAGAATCGGCCCTATCAATGGAAAATTTTTGAAGAAGTATTATCCTTGCAGTCGCAACGCTCCTTGACGCATGAGCCTAAATTGCATGCTCTTACACTCCTGGCTCGTAAGAGTATAAACTGTGTATAACCCAAAAAATAAAAGACCAAAAGATATTGCAACAATCGTAGTATTTGATTTCAAATGATATGAGTGTACAATATCTATGGATCCTCTGATTCTTCTTTCCAATAGTAAATAAATTCAAGGGACCTTGAGCTTGATCTTGAATCTATATTTGTTACCACGGATGTTGATCTTGGATTCAACTAGCACAAATTTTGATTTGAACTCGTACTCCTTGAATCTTGATTTGTTCTTCGTTCTTGAGCTTGAGCTTGATTTGTTCTTTGTTCTTGAGCTTGAACTTGTTTTGTTCTTCGTTCTTAAGCTTGAACTTGATTTCTTGAACTTGAACTTGATTGCTCAAAGCTTGAAACTTATAGAGAAATTTGTGGCTTTTGATCCACGAGCTCTCTCTTGCTTCTTGTTATAACTTTTGGTCCAAAGCTTCCAAAAGTAACATCAAGGATGCTTTCCACATCAGCATAGAACCTGGAATTAGCAGCCTTGGTGGAAGTTGAACTGGAGTTGACTTTCTTTGAAACCATTTCAATGTTCTTGAACTTTGGTGATTGAAAAGTTGAGATGAGAGGTAGAGATTGTCCCTACCAGGCGTGCCAGATTTGTAGACAATAAATTTGCGTCGAGAAAATAATCGAGACTAAAAAATATTGCAACAATAGTAGTATTTGATTTCAAATAATATGAGTGTACAATCTCTATGAATCCTCTAATTCTTCTTTCCAAAAGTAAATAAATTCAAGGACCTTTGAGCTTGATCTTGAATCTATATTTATTATCACGAACGATGATCTTGAATTCAACTAGCACGAACTTTGATTTGAACTCGTACTCCTTGAATCTTGATTTGTTCTTCATTCTTGAGCTTGAACTTGATTTTTTGAACTTGAACTTGATTACTTGAAGCTTGAAACTTGTAGAGAAATTTGCGGCGTTTGATCTACAAGCTCTCTCTTGCTTCTTGTTATAACTTCTGGTGTCTTTTCTGGGTTATGAAGACCCCTATTTATAGTTGTGGGAGGGAAGAGTTATGATAAAAATAAACTCTTTCCGACCAATCAGATTGAAGAGTGACAAGACTGCATTTGATTGGCCAGAACATGTCACTTGCACATGTGACGCGATTTCATTGGCCTTTTAATGTGACTTGGCATGCCTTGTCATTTTGACACGTGGCATGATCCTATTGGCTCTTCCGTTTGACTTGGCGCGCCACGTCATTTGACACGTGGCACCAAACTGGGCCTCTAGGAAAATGACATTATGGGCTTAATGAAGTGGGCTCATTATTTGTAGCCCAACTAAATAGGCTAGCCCAACACTTTAGAATTATTTATTTAATCCCTATATATTGGATCAGACTTATATAATTAATCCAATTATATTAGCCCATAATATTTGTATGTACTAATATATATTGAATTTAAAATATAGTGCAAATTATTTTATGAATTTAATTCCAATAAAATTTATATGCCTACATATGTCACTTGAAATTTCGGAAAGTGAATCCTCTCTTTCAGATCCTGGCCTTGGTAGAACTTGTCTTTGATTGGGATTTCGATTGAAAAGATGTTAGGCCGCTTCCTCGTGTGCCTAAGAAGCCGAGGCAATTTCGATTGAAGACAATTCAATATTTTCCTACTCAATCTTCTTTATAGAAATAGCACTCAATCAAAAGGGAGCATAAGCAAGTTTAGTGGTAGAAATCTCTGTAATCAATCGATGGGAACCTCGATGCTGTCTGGGGCAGGAGAAAACTGGTTCGTACCAAATATTATTTCTTTTATACTTATTTTTTATATTGCTTAGAATTTTTAATATATATTATTTTATGTTTTATACTTTAATTACGTAAAACTAAATAATTAATATTTTTTTTAGAATAAATGTTTAACATTTCTCCTTTTTAAATAATGCTAATTGTAAACTAAATATTTTATGTCATTTTGTCGTAATTTGATACTCAAAAGTACTTTTTGAAAAAATTGACCAAACATAATTTGCTTATCAAATATCGCAAAAAATACTTTCGAACAAATTGGCCAAACACAAACTGCTAATCCCAAAAGTATTTTTTTAAATAACAATTTTGAACAAAAATACTTTTTAAAACAAGTAGTTTTTGGTAGCTTGATCATGCTTTTACACCTTGAACTACTTGACATATGTATAAACCCATGCCTAAGGACTTAATAAAGCGTATGTCCGCCTCCATCTTATATCAGTAAATACAAAAAACAAATGTTGATTTATTATTAGTTTGTGACATTAATAAGTACAAATTGATCATTTTAAATCTTTATTCTTTCTAAGAAAAAAAATTGAGCACGCATATAGTAAATATCAAAAACATGATGTGGTTGCATTCAGGGGCGGACCCGAGATTTTGTGCAAGCGAGTTCAATCTTGGAAGTATATAACTTTAGTCGTAAAATAATAGTTGTCAAGGATTCAAATAAAATATTTATACAAAATCTACACAGTTTTAATCCTAATTTATATATATATACAGTATTATTTTTTGATAAAGCGGGTTCAATTGAACCCGCTAACCACCACGTGGGTCTGCCACTGGTTGCATTCAATATTAGAGATTGCATATTTCTTCATGGTAAGAATTTTCTGTCACTGAATATTTATACTAAATTATGTCAACTTACCATGATTAAATGTTTAGATGAGGTGGAGGGTTGGTTATCGAACATAGAGCTACTATTATGCACAGCGACTGCTTCCTAGCTCATTATTTCATACAAGCGATTTGATTATGGCCATCACTTTATGGCATGTGAAATTTCTTTCCTGTCTAAGAATTTAGGTTATCAAAGCAGTAATGCACATAACATATAAAATAATGATTATTTTAGTTTTCTTTGTTCTTGTAGATCTCAGTTTAACTGTTCATGATTGTAAATGATCATTGACATCCAACAAACGCATCCCACTAGCAAAGCTAGCAAGCAGCAACTTCACAGTTTATCAAAAAGATAACAATATAATGGGACTAGTTTATCATTGACTCGATAAAGTGAACTTGAATTGACAGTATCTATTCTCGGTCTCCTTTCTTTTTATTTTCTTTTTCTTTTTTGTCCTTGCCACTGTTAGGAAAATAATTCTCAAACCGTTTAGATCTGAGACAGTTTTTTGCAGCTATTAGAATAATTCTTTCTAACTTGTTTGGGCTGATGCATCGTTATGAGAAAATCAGAAATAACCTAATTTACAATTCGTGATTGAGAAATAGTAATAATTTTAAAAGTAATAAAAATTTAGCCATTTTTTTATATAAAGATAAAATCTTAACAAAAACAAGCTTAAAATCCGAAAAAATTCCAGCATAAAATGCTATAGTTCAAATTTTTTATATATGAGATTCCACCATAATGTGCTCGAATTTTATAATATGCTGGAGTGCCAGTATAATATGCCGAAAGTTTATACGCAAAAGTTCCATAATCCAATATATTATGCTATGACTCTTCGTGTTTAAGCTAGAAAAAACTTGCTAGCTCATGCTAGTAATTTATTGTCATTGTCCTTGCAGGCCGCAGCTATCATAAAGGTCAAGTCTATAAACTAGTGACGGCAAATATTTATCTGCACCAGTGTGTTTACACCAAATTAAATATTTTAATTTCAGTACTTACTTGATATAAACATCCGATGCAATAAATTTTTACCAATAATAATTGATTAAATGTTTACAGTTAAAAGGCTGAATATCGGTTATATGGAAGTAGCATTTGATAATGGGAGTGATCGGATCACTATAGTCTATATTTAGCTCAAACTGTTTATATAGTCAAAAAAAAAAAAATCATAATAAGTTTGCACTTATCTGAGTAGTGAATGCAGTGATATTTAGTATTTAATAATTTAGAATCTTAAATTCGTCTTTATCATGATACTAGTTTATGTCTACTTCCTTTCCTTTCACGATAAAAGGAAAAGTGTAAATTTGTTTTATAAAAAAGGTAATTCGGTGCACTAAGCTCTTGCTATAGACAAAATCCGGAAAAGGATTGGACCCAAGATATCCAAAAGGTAGAATTAAATATTCAGATCAGATCATCTCTTTATATAGGGCATGACGGATACGGAGTTATGTGACTTGCGTCTAACCAACACATCACCAAACCCCTGGAAGCTTTAGGAGAGTGAATCCTTTAACTGAGATCTTTAGCTTAAATGCCATAACCAGGTTCCTACATTAGTATCATCATCAAGAGCTTGAAGGTCACTCATTTGTCAACAAAAAAAGCGCAAATGCGCGGAAACTAACTCACTTCTCAACAATAAATTCTTTAATTTGTATTCCAGTATGCCGAGCACCTCCCTGTACTAGGAGGCAAACCTCATCGCCAACTTTGAGTGAGGTCACAGGAATTGTTGTTCGTTGATATCCCTCCTCTGCAAAAATATATGGAATGTTAGACCCTTTTTCTTGATTAACCAAGAAATCCCGAAAGTTAGTGAAGCACGGTTCGAAGCTCGGCGGATAATGGGGCTACCCCTCTATCCTTCTTCACTTAAATACCAGTTGTTTATGTATGGCAAGATTCAAACCCGTGACTTGCGCTTAACCCACACATCACATATAGCGCTCTTACCACCAGACCAAAGCCGTAGAGTATATGGGATGTTAAACCTCAAAAGGAGCAAACAGAGAAAAAGCTGCTGCATCTCAAAGATTTACCTTGAAGCGGAGAGACTAATCCAACTGTTTCCGCATTCTGCAAGAGTATAGAGTAACTTTCATTTTCGGATTCTACCTGCATTATACAATTTCCCAATCAAATTAAAAATTAGTGTCAATTAGACAAATGCTCTCGGCTAAAAGATTAACCCAGTCAAAGAGTTTTGACCTTATCCTACATTTTCATGTATGAACAGGTTACAAGTTGCAGGTGCTGAAACTATTGTTAAGAACAGTTCTATGACTTACACGACAGAGCTAAAACTAAAGGATGTTTTCCAACTGATCATTTGCTGGTGCACTCATGCCTCGCGCCCAATTCTTTTACTCTTGAAAACAAGAAGTTTCATCCAGAAGTTAAATACTTCAAGTACATCAAGTGTACACCAATGTTTGCAGATAGCAACTTTGCTTTTCTCCAAAAAAAGAAAAAGCTATGGTATCCTTGTCAAACTACTGCATCCAGCTAATTTGCTCTATTATCCTACTTGAGATTCCTTATGATTAATAGTTGTCTCATGCTTGTATCCATAGTCACACTATGTCAAAGTTACACGAGCACACATCTCAATAGTTAAATAAACAAGCAAAGAAGGTACAGACCATTTTATTTAGCATAAGGTGGAATGCATCACACACCTTTGCTTCCACAAGGATAAGTGGTCTAGTCTCAATCTTTACACGTCCAACAATAGCTGTTCGCTGCATCCCCCTTTGATCAACCACAATGACCTCTTTGCCAGACTTGAGCTCCGAGAGATAGCTAGTCTTTCCTCCTGGAACAGCAACATATGCATGAACAGGCCCCTGCCAAAGTCCAAACAATTGTCATATATTCTAGTTTGAGATGCATTACCACAATTCAACTCATTGAAAAGAGTTAAGGTCGAGGATTTGGAACAAATAGCTTATAGAAGTCATTACCAGGAAAATGCAATTAAGGTAATAGTAGAGTTCTTCTCTAGGAAGTTAGCATCAAGCCCCAGTTTGTGAAGGTAAACTATTTTACAAACCACCAGAAATGCTCATGAAACTTTGAAATAACCAAAGACACTTTCACCATCAACTTATCCGTTCCATGTTAGTTCTAGCTTTTCCATTACTGAACATTTAAATGGCTTAGTACGAGACGCACCGCATTAACTCGAAAAGGCCGGCTAGAAATGTAATTTGACTCCAAGCATTCAGAGTGAACAAGGAAAAGGCCTCTTGCAAAGGATCCAACCTAAGGAAAAAACAACAAAATGAAATTGAAATTCCATAAAGTAAGATGCAAAAATGAACCCATATGTAAACAGTAAACAAACATAAATAGACAGAAAAATAGGAGCAAACCAGAAGTCCTTCACCAGGTCTCATGAGGCTACAAATATCCACACAGACACGGTCACCCATTCCAGTCGCTTGAACACGAGTTATTTTGGCTTTGGTCAAGTTCAACAGACTGTCTACTTCATGTCTTCTGTCAAAATAACCCTAACAATGATAACTGACATCAAAATAAAATCTTCGCCAAGGAAGACTGCCCTTTCTAAAAGGCACTACCTTCAGGTCAAGGATTGCCCCGACATCCTCAACTTTCATTACTACACCACCCAAACCGTGTTCCAAGGCCTGGAAAAGAAGAAAGGATGAGTGAAACTTGGCACTTTTGAATAGCAAAATTCCACTTTAAATGCCTTAAAGTCCTCTACTTTGTGCGAGAAGTTACTTCCTTATGACTTAAAGTTCAACCACCTCAAGAAAGACTTGAGCTTCTGACTGTGTCTTTGAGACAGCAAGTACAGTTTTCTGAGTGCCTTGAAAAGCCGCAACAATATTTTCTGCAGGTATCACCTATGGAATAAACAAACACAAACCAGCAGTTGAAGTAGACTCATATAAGATGGAGAAGTTAATGTACTTGGAGCGATACAAGGGTCAGCCAAATAAAACAACTAGAGGCAGAACCAGTATGAACCATACAAATTCAATATGCTAATACATACAACCCAACTCGTCCAACCCACCTATGGGCTATGGAACAAATGCAAATAATTTTGTGAAGAAGAAAAGCAATAAGTACCTGCCAATCTAATAGATCAACAACAACATTATCTGCCTGTTCCTCCAATATGTGTAGCTGTTCTAACTGCTGAGGAGAAGAAACCTCAGCAAATGCAGCAACTCTCTGATGCTCGTGATCAAAGAGACCCCCCTCTTCAACAAAGAGAGGAGATATCATTGCAATTGCTGCACGTGATAGAACCAGAATTGCAGCGAAATAATCAAACATTATATAAAACCTCACAGTTCTAATTCCAAAATGCACATCCATGCTCAACATTCATAGGTAATCTGGAAAAAAACATGTACAGGATATAGAATCAGGCGAACCCCCTCTTGTTTCTCATTATCGTGTCCGGAAATTCTGAATTTTGCCACGTACTATCAAACATCCTAAATTCTCACTAATACATACTTGGCAGGTCTGGGATTTAAAGACAATGGTTAGTTGTTTATTCCTGCAAACTTGGGGTACATTCCTCCCAATTTGAAGTATTTTCCGGAAAATGTAAATATTCCTTTTACAAGGAAAATAAAAGGTTTAAACTTCACTTATCATAGAATTAAATAAAGAGAGAAAAAAGGTTTAAACTTTTGGCGGGAAAAAAACTTCAATTTGAGAAAGTTTAAACCTTATTGACTACAACAAACAACCAGTTGTGACAATTAAAAAAAAATTGTGACTATGCAAGGGTAGCACAATCTGCTCTCTCGCAGCCACTACTCTAATAAAAAGCACCTAATACCCCACTAAATATAAGTCACCAAACTAATAGATAAAGAGGCGGATGTAGCGTTCTGACTACGGTTTCAACCGATCCCAGTACGCTTGATACATAATATAGGTATATATGTGAAAAATACTAAAACTTTAACAAATATTAAATTCTGAATCCATAATTTTAAAGGTACAATGAGTTAAGTGCTTAAACCCTTAAGCTTGACCTCGTCAAGCTTAATCCTAGATCCACCTCTAAATTACATATACATACTTTTTCAAATTTGCTTTCACTGCTTAAATTTTGGATCCACCTTAGCTCAACTCAGAACAAGTTGTGCTCATTTTTTTATGACGGTTATGCCTCATTTAACTTATACACAACATTGTAAAGAACTTTTATATTATCATGTTACTTTTACCTGTTGTAGCAGATAACCTACCTTATTTTTAAGATTACAAATCCCATTTTATTAGGAGAGTTACCCGGTAGATATCTTGTGTGACATGATAATATAAAATTCTTTTCACACTTTCGGTGTATATAAGTTAAACTCTACAGTTTAAGTTCTGTGCACAGTCGGTGTATAGATTCTTTAATCTATCTAATTAAGTTCACTCACAACAATTGGTAAATCTTACTAGTAGCTAAGCCTAATACGGTAACCTGGATAATAGAAGAATAAATTGTTATAACCAGTTACATTGGCTTGATGGTGTAAAAATACTTTGCACTGTCACTGTATATAACTTAAGTCCTAACCTCTATACATACTTACCAACAACTGAAAAACAAATAAAAAAATATTGTTTTAAAAAAAAAAAAAAACTTACAAGACCAGTCAAGGGCAAGATCTTGACGATTGGAAGGGAAGATGAAAGTATTCCAACCTCTCTCCACAGCAGCAGTCATCACTTGCTTGTTCTCTGTCCATATCCAAACTATTTTCTTCGACTTTGATGTTGTAATTGCACACATTTTAGCCACTCTATTAACACGAGATATTGTTCCCTTTTTACTGGAGAAATCAGCGTATCTACAATTTTTCCATTTACCTACAGAAAAAGAAAACAAAGAATCAACATTTGATACTTTGTATTGTTGTGATTTAGAAACCTATATAAATAACTAATATTGCACAGGGTGAGTTGAAGTACCTGGAACTTTAGGGTAAGAAACAGAAAGTGAAGGTAAGACTATAGCCATTTCTGTTGATCATCAAGGAAAGGAAGCAACCGTTCCTGTTTTTCTCTATGTAGTAGATTACATTTTTGTCCCCACACGAAAATGTGTGGTTTCGATCTTTACCAGATTTCTCTTTGAGGTGGTTTGATTGGTCGCAGTAAATAATTTCAAAAGTTGCACTGGTGTTGTAAATAATACTTTTAATTCAGATTATTCAAAAGTAATTCCAGATAATTCTATTTAACTAGCATTCATTGATAAATAAGTAACCTACAACAAATAGTAAAATTCATTATACCAGTCAATGCATATTACTTAAGGGATTTTTACCCATATGTACTACATTAGAAACTTATTTACCCTCACTGTTTAGGTTTTAACTTAATTACAAGTTGATATATAATTTACCAATTATATACAAATTAGTATTAATGAGTACCCTATTATATTAAGAATTGAATAGGGAATTCCCTCTTCGCTCTCTCTCTTCGATCTCTCTCTCATTCTCTATCATTATTCTTATATTAATATCTTCATGTGAATTAACTGAAGAAATGATACTAATGTTAAATGAAAAAAAGAGAGAAGATTAGTACCTAGCAAAGTTCTTGCTTCAGATCCTATGAAAACGAGAAAGTAAATAAGAAAGAAATTAGCTTTGATGAAGAGAATCATTTTAGTTATCATTCTTTTAGCTTTTTGGAATCAATAAACAAAATAGTATTAATTAGAAGCGAGTAGAGTAAATTGGAAACTATGTTAATCCATTAAAAACTCTATTGACGGCCATTAAAAAGCTTCAAAGCTTTGGATTCGAAAATATAATTTTATGAAATTATTTTTTGTTTGGATTGGGTGTTGTTGCAAATGATTGGGAATATCCGTTGGAGTTTATATCTCAAATTTGAGACAATTTAGTGAATATTCGAGGTGGTTTAGGTTGAAATTTCATATTGAAACTCGAAAAGGAAGACATGAACAAAGTGTATATATTTTGTATGTCGAATGTAGAAACGGTGTACAAAATATCTACAACTTACATAATTGTATATAAGTTGTATATAAATTGTATGTAAATTGTAGTTTTTGACCGGTTTATGTGCAAAAAATGTGTATTTATGTTGTAGATAAATTATAGATTTGTACCGAATTTGTATATATTTTGTATGTCGAATGTAGAAACGGTGTACAAAATATCTACAACTTACATAATTGTATATAAGTTGTATATAAATTGTATGTAAATTGTAGTTTTTGACCGGTTTATGTGCAAAAAATGTGTATTTATGTTGTAGATAAATTATAGATTTGTACCGAATTTGTATATATTTTGTAAAAATCTTTTGTTACTTCCTTTAAATATGAAAACTTAGATAAAACCGGATAAATAAGTTTAAAATCTTGTATATATATATATGAAAAAGTCCCATTACTTGAACATCTTCGTATTTAGTTGGTCGCATAAGAAAACTGATTTTCTCATAAGTGATGTCGCCTTTGATTGGAGGTATTAAGTTAATATCCACACTATTTATGAGATTTATATATTATATTACATGAAATAGAATATAGAATAAGAATATATGTATGAAACAAAAGTATTTAGGGTATGTTTGGAAAGTCACAAAGTAATTGGAATTTGTGTAATTACTAGAGTAGTAATTACACAGCCTAGTAATTACACAATATAGTAATTGCGACGACATGTTTGTTTGTCCTAACGTAATTACAATGTAATTATAAATATATTATTTAGTTGCACAAGTGCAATTACACAGTTAAATAAAATTTTATATAAAGTAATTATCAAAATTTAAAAGTTAATATAATAAATATATGCCTATAAATAATTTTTTATAAGTATAAATGATATTAGAATTGGTATTTAAGATGCATATTTTTTCTTGAATACACATTAATTAGTAATTATAGGTTTTTAATAACCCTGAGAAATTCTAATAAATTATTATTTGTCAGGACATTAATATCTAAGTCCTTAAATTGAGAATAGATATTATAAAACTCATCATCTGTGTTATTATTACAACATTGATTCTGCTTGCAGAGTCCACACTGATCATCTGAGGTAATATAATTTTCCCCATTTAAAACCTCTCTAAATATGTTGATGGTTATATTTCCATGTTAGAAAGAGATTATAAACTCACTAATGGTAAAATCACTAAATCNATGGGAACTTTTCAGAAATTGAGTTTTTGGTTATTAAAGACCCAGAATTAAGGTCCCAAATTATTGATAAAATGGATCAGTGGATGAATCTTCTCTATCACTATTTTTTGGAGAATTTTTCGGAGAAGAATTTAACAGAATCTTATATAAAGAGTCCTTAATATTATCATCTATGTCAAGATTCTTAATATTATCCTTGACTCTACAATCCTTAGCATAATGTCCTACTCTGCCTCATTTGTAGCAAGCATTAGGCCTATTAGATTTTATGAAATCCTTTATATGCCTATAAGTATCTCTTCTATTGTTCTTACGCTCTATTCTTTTATAAAAAGATACTCTATTCTTCCTATGTTTATAAGACTCATGCTTATGTCTATAAGACTTTTTTTTATTCATAGGGATATCTATAATAAATTGTTCACATAATCCCCCTAGTTGTTGTCTTTCATTAAGACGATGCCGCTTAATTTCCTGATTTAGCTTAATCTCATTGCACAAAGCTAAACCTTCCTGTGTACATACACTAATAAGTTTTTCATAGGAATAGCCATTATAATCTATACTCATTGTTGGACAAATTAATAACAAAAGTCTAGAAAATATCTAGGAAGTATACTACAAAAGGTAAAGAGCAAATTGCTACCGCAAGTATCCAACCTCCTCCTGAGGTCAAAGACTTTAAGTTAAAAAGTCTAGAGGACCTAGAGAAATTATTAGATGAAAAATGTGAAGAATTCAAACTTAGTCCTTTAAATTTAGAGCATCTATCTTATGAGGATAGTAGACTAAAAGTCCATAATGAGATAAATAAGATCCCAGAAAAATTTGCTCGAAAACCAGTCCAAAGGATGTTCTATTATCCTAGGCCAACTCCTCAAGATGTACTCTTAGAGGAACCTGATTTTAGTCATTACTCACAAAGTTATAACGGTACAGAAATCTATGAATGGAACATATATGGTTTTACTGACCGCCATATTTATACTCAAGTACATAGAATGCTTATGTACAACACTATCTGCAAGGTTAATAAGAATTCCTAGAAAATCATTGTAGACATGATAGTAGCAGGTTTTACTGGCCAATTAAAAGGCTGGTGGGATAATTATTTAAAAAATGAACAACACGCAGAAATAATGAGCGCCATAAAAGTAGAAAATGGACAGAATGCTCAAAACTATGTCTATTCTTTAGTTCTTAATATTATAGAACACTTTCGAGGAAGATGGTCTGATAATAGTGAGACCTTAAGGACTATGCTCCAAAACCTTAGATTATTAAGTCCATTTCAGCAGGTTACTAGAAGGCTTCAAATGAAAAGAGGAGTTGTTTCTAAGAAGGAAATTATTGCTTCTTATTTTGAAGAAATAAAAAGGGATTTGGTAAGAAATTTTGAAGTAGAAATAGTATCAGAGCCATGGTTAGGAGTAGAAATATGTGCTAAGTTCAACACATATTCTCTAATGAATATCATTAGGAAACAAACTAATGTTAAAAACAATAAGAAAGAAGAATTTGATATGCCCCAACAATTAGATTTACTTAATAAATGGACGATTTCTAGAATCCAATCTAGGTTATATACCAGTTAGGTACATTTGAGAAATTAGTTTTAAAAAAAGTAGTTAAAATTGCTGAAGAGACTATCACAGTAGATAGTGATAATGCTACATTTAGATTATTATCTGAAAATAATTTAGCTCCTTATAGGGAAACTCATAGATTTTTGCATATTGGCTTAATACAAGTTGCCTTCAAGCCACTTACATTAAGAGGATTACCTGAAAGCTTCATAGCAGAAACCAAAACTAGAAAAAATCCCTTATAGGGAGAATTAGCGTCACGTTCAGCGGTTTAAGGTCTCGAGCAACTTCGTATTTTGTATTATGACTTGCGTGTGTGGCCGAATTTGCTTTTCGGATGATTCAGGATCAATTTGGAATAACAATTCTTATTTTAGAAGCTTAAGTGAGAAGAGTTGACTGCAATTTGACTTTTGTGAAAACGACTCCGGAATGGAGTTTTGATGATTCTAATAGTTTCGTATGGTGATTTTGGACTTAGGCGTACATCTGGATTTGGATTTGGAAGTCTGTAGGATAACTCGACGCATTTTGGCGAAAATTAAAAAGTTGAAGTTTTGGAAGGTTGAGAGGTTTGACCGAGGGTTGACTTTATTGATATCGGGTTCGGATTTCAATTCTAGAAATTGGAACAGGTCCATTATGTCATTTATGACTTGTGTGAAAAATTTGAGGTCAATAGGACTTGATTTGATATGTTTCGGCACCGAATGTAGAAGTCAGAATTTCTTAACTTTCATTAGGCTTGAATTGGGGTGTGATTCGTGGTTTCAGCGTAGTTTGATATGAATTGAGGCCTCGACTAAGTTCTATCGTGTTTTAGGACTTGTTAGTATAATTAGTTGGGGGGCCGGGGGCCCTCAGGTGTGTTTCAGATCATTTTGGGCTACTTTGGATGCTAGTTTTCTGATGTCTGATTTTGTTATTCGCGTTCGCGAGGAGCCTCTCGAGTTCACGAAGAAGGATTTGGCTGCTGAGATTTTGTTCTTCGCGTTCGTGAAAAAGGAATTCCTGCTGACCGTTGTCTGACTTTGAAAGCTTATATCTTGCAATCTATAAGGAATTTGAAGATGATCCAAAAGCAAAAGTTGTAGTCCTTTGTGTCTAGTTTTGTACAAAGAGTTATGACCATTATACTAGAGGCTATCTGGGAAGAGTTTGGAAATGGCTATTGAGGAATTTGTTCATCGCGAACGCGAGGGGAAGGTCGCGAACGCGAAAAAGGAACCCCTGGGCAGCAGAATAAAATCCAAAAATGAGGCTTCATCTCATTTTTCCATTTTTGGACCAAAAAAGCTCGGGTGAGGC